AACAAGCTATATGAATGGTTGAATGTGAAGCTGATGATATGCCCTGTAAACTTTCACTCAATGCAAAATAAAAACATTTAATTAAAAAAAAAAAATGCAAAAGCACACCTCCCATTAACCATCAGGATGATAATTTCATCACACATAACATACCCTGTGAAAAACAAACACAAGGGCATTATTATGAAATTAGTTTTGATCTCAAGGATATCCTGAAAGTGTCTCAAGGACCTCCTGGGGCCCAGGACCACCCTTGGAGAATAGGTGATCTGGACTAATGAGTCCAAGGGCCTCTGTCTAAAACTTCATTGAGGTCATTATGCCTGGCGGAGCAGGGCTTGGAAAAGAAGAAAGAGACCAGGGTAATTGAGGAAAGATGGAGGAATAAACAAGGGTAATGGAGAGGGAGGCTCTCGTAGTTAGAGGAGGCCCAGGGAGAGGTACATAGAGGAAGTAGAAAGAGCAAGAGACCAACTAGGGTCCACGAACCACTGGAAATCTTCCAATGAAGACAGCTGAGATCTTGGGATAAATCCAGCTAATAGGTTACAAGTTACAAGGTTAGGGTTGAGACCACATTGCTGTCAGCTGACTCCCCACCCCACCCCACCCCCACCCCCAAGCATGGAATAGCTGACTGAGCAGGATTTATAGATCTGCTTTTGCCAAATGTGCCTGCTGGTAAAAATCATCTAGGGTTAACAATTATGAAAGGTTACAATTATGAAAGGGCTTCAAAAAGCTTCATGGAAAAATGGAATGAAAGGATAATGGAATATTCCCATAAACTTTTGAGTTCCCTTGTACATATCCATGAGAGTCCTCTCCTGAAGAAATGAACTAGGTATTCTGATCAGGAAGCAAGCAAGTTGGAGAAACACCTGGATCTTATGCACGTTCCTTTAGGAGAATGGCATGCTAAGAGGTGCCTCTTCAGGGTAACCCACAGATCCTTCATTTTCCACACATGACTTGGCTAAAACCTGGTCAGCTTGCATGAATGATCAATCTCCACAGAGATTCTGACCTCCAGTGGGCTGACTCAGGGACAGTTCTGGTGACAGAAATGAAGTTATTTCATATGCTTATGTCATTGTAAAAGGACTTGGGTCCTCTAGTGAGGAGATGGAATCAGCAGCCCAACATTTAGCCCACTGCACCACTAGGACTCCTTATATAGAGAAACAGGAACAATGAAATCTAAGTGTGGTATACATTGCCTCCAAAATGGCCAAGTTCTGTGCCTCACTTTTCTGAGGAGTTGGTGCAGCAACTTATCTTTCATCTGGAGCAGAACGTTTCAACGTGCTCCAGAACATGGAGTCCCCAGAAACTTCATTACTCCTACAATTCTGTATCAGCTGGATCCAATTCAGGAGCGAGAATCTACACAAGAATTTCAACAGGGACGGTTAATTTAAAAGAAAAAGAACTTTAACAATTAAGTGCTGTCGAGTTAGTTCCCACTATAGCAACGTTGTCTAGGGTTTCCAAGGAGCAGCTGGTGAGTTTAAACTGTGGGTCTTAGAGTTTAAATAAACCTTTGTGGTCCATTGCCTAACAAATAAAGAACCCTATAGAATATAGGGATAGTAGACATGATAAGCAGTTACTAGGTCTAAAGCTAGAGTCCTAGTGTGACACTGTGGGCTAATGCGCCAGATTGCAAAGTCGTTTGAACTGCAAGGTCGGGGGTTCAAGCTCATCGCTATGGGTCGGAACCGACTCCATGGCACTTAACAACAACAACAACAGGTCTAAAGCTGAATATTCCCTCAACATCGCCAATTCGGCAATAACTAAACAGAACTGTGATTTTTTTTTTGTCTTCACCCATTATTAGATTATAGGGTCCTTAAGGGCAGTAACCACATGTCATTTCTCCATTATATCCCAGTGCTTAGTGGGGTTGCTTAATCCTCCAAAGACTCAGAATAATAAATAGTAGTGAATGAATGAACGCAAGCGATATTGACACACTAGCAGCCCACAAGAGAATGAGCCTGCTTCCTGCCACAGGTGCCAGGCCCAAAGCATGGGTTTTCCATCACACACCTGGACGCAACTATCCAATTTAAAGACGCTGCAATAAAAAGGAGTATTAGTGCAGAGTTGTGTGGAGCCTTTGTCAACCTCTCCTCAGAAAAAGGTGAAAGCCCAGCCCAGCTTCCCAGATGTGACCGACTACTGCTCCTTCTTGGGGTTCTTATTACTTAGTCCCTAGGTCCGGAGCTCGATTGCTGCGTGAACCGCTACCTACCGCTCAGCCTCTCTGGGCTGTTAATAGTAACAGCTGAGGCTAAGATTGCCATCAAAGCCTCTCCCTCTCCAGCTCCGCCCTTGCAGAGACGTCTGACTTACAAAGCAGACCCAGGTGAGGACCCCAGTGGAGTTTGGACCCCCAGAAGAGGCCAGGTCATGGCGCACGCGCTGCGGGAGCGCACGGCGCGGGTGCTGACCGACTATCTGCAGCACTGCGCCCGGGAACCTGACGCCCGCTCCTGTGATCCGTCCACACCGGAGGCCGCCGCGCTGCGCCGCGCTGCTGACCAGCTTAAGTGGAGCTACCGGTCCTTTTTTGTCAGCTGCCGTGACTTCCGAGGAAACCGTGCTGAGCTGTTGCAGCAAGTGGCACAAGAGATGCTTGCTGACGGCCGCGGCCTTAGTTGGCACCGCGTGGTGGCGCTCGTAACCTTCGCTGGCACGCTTGTCGATAGACTGCCGCCGGAGACCCACGGCGTTGGCGTGCGACGGCGGACAAGAGAAGAGGTTGACTGGGATTGCCAGTGCTTGGTGGACGTGTTATGCAATGTGCTGGTGGATCAGAACGGCGCCTGGCTGGAGGCCCACGGTGGCTGGGTGAGTTGGCGGGGCGCAGGGACGTGGGACGGGAAGGGGCGGGCGGTTGGGAAGGCGCCCGCGGTGCCAGTCTCTTGAAATGCAGAACGCTTTGCGTCCGTGGTACTGGGATGTTTGGTGGAGTCAAACTCGAAAGAAGTTGGTCTTGTTAGACGGTTCTCTAATTAACCCGTTCCGAGGGAGTTGCGCAGTTTTGGTCTGCACACTTGGCCGTACCCTATTATCTTTAGCTTGGGGCTTCGTGTGGCGCTGTAGGATAAGCAATGGCTTGTTAATTGCAGTCAGTGGTTCAAACCCACTGTTCCTGGAAACCCTGTACAGGGTCACTAAGAGTCGGAATCGACTCGACGACCCATAACAACATCATCCTTAGCTTGTTTCAGGGGCTTTTAGGGCGCACCCACGTGAAGTCTGGATAATTCATTGTTGTAAGGTCGTTTTGAGTTTGAAATGACGATGGCAGTGGGCTTAGGGTTTTTGTTTTATTTTGTAATATACCTCATTGACCATTGCTCTGAAGGTCGGGGAGTACCAACCTGAGAACAACAAGGTTAAAATAGAAAATTATCCCCTTGTCCAGCCCCTCCTCCCCCCCCCAGGAGGAAGGGAGGCCACAGCTGTGGGGTACTTATTCGAAGTTCCTTGGATTATAATCTAAAGCACCCAGCTTTCAGTAGAGAGTGGTCCAACTGGTGCCAGGTGGCTTTTGGTTTAGCTCTGTAATCTCCCTGCCTCCCTTCAGTCTTGATGGTCTTCTAGTTAGTGGGGGCAGATGGTTTGGCCAGTAGCTCTTGAACCAAGTTGGTGACCAAAGTCATTTCACCCTTCGGTAAACCCACAATATTCATCTGGTGTTCTAAGATAGACCCTTCGTGTTTTTTTTCTTTTTCTTATTGGAGTTAACTCAGACTGAAGTGACCCACGTTGTAAATACAGCCAAACTACTAAAACTAGTGATTTTTAAAATCTGACAAACTAGGGAAGATGGTAGTGGTTTTGTGCCGTAAGTCGGTTCCAACTCATAGTGACCCTGTATGGGGTTGCCAAGGCTGTAAATCTTCATGGGAGCAGAAAGCTTCCTCTTCCGCCATGAAGTGGCCGTGAATTTAAACTGCTGACCTTGCGGTTAACAGCCCAACTAGTAATTCACTACGATACCCTTTTCTTAGGTCTCTTGTGGTGATGAATTGGGTTGGTATGAGGAAAGGAGGAGGAGGGTAGTGTTTTGAGTCACAGCCTTGACTTAAATGAACAGGTGGGGGAGCTAGCATTAGCCTCTGCAATTATGTTTTCTTGTTGGTTCTCAACCAGTTTTGTGTTGTTAGGGTCCTATAAACTTGAGTTTCTAAGAACCTCACTTGAGCCATTTTTCTTAATGCATTTGGCCCCTGTCTATGGGGCTCATTAGATGATCAAGATCAGTGAAGTTTGTGTATATATGATATATGAGGAAGCGTCAAAGATTACATGAAAAGTGGAATTAAAAAATAGTACAAATTTCCATGAACTTTTTTGAAGCCCCTTCATCTGGAGAGACTTATTTCAAGGAAATAGCTCACTTAATTGTAAAAGCCAGGCAAGCCCCAAATTCATGGGTTAGACACTATGCTGGAGGCTTCTGGCTCTGGTGTGAAGGGGCTGATGAACCCAAAAGCCACACAGATGTAGGCCACACCCCCAAAGTAACTGATTGACTTTCAACTGATAGTTTACACACAATGGATCACAAATGGAGACAGTTCCATAATGTAGCATTTTGGGAGAGCATTCAATCCAATGTCTGCCCAAGTACTTGAGAGTCATACCCTAGCAAGTTGACACATAACATTAGCCATCACAGCCCCTAAGGGGTCTCTGCACTTAAAGAGTAAATTGACTGGAAGGACTCTGTTTTTGTTTTGTCTAATCAACATTGACTGAGGAATAATCTCTTAACATCAAGAAGCCCAAATTCTTAAATTGGGTAAACCTGAACCCTCCCAATTGCTGTTAAGTGCCATGCCTACTAGAGTTCAGTTTTCCCTTCGCGTGTTTTTTGTTTTGTCTGAATGGGAGCAGCTGAGGCTCTCCTTCGACAGCTTCCCAAATGGCATCTGTCCTTTGCTTAGAAAACAACATTTTATAGTAGGCCATTTCCTCTTGGGTTTTGAAAAACAAGAGTCAAAACTTAAGTATTCTGCTGTGACAAAGTTAATTACTTCACCCATTATGTTAAACTATTTATTATAAACAACAAATCGAGGTTTTCTAATTGCAGGTTGGCTATTGGTCAATGTTTTCTTTCCCCCTCCTATCTTTTAAATCAAGGAGTTAAGTTTACTGTTGAATGTCGTGTGCATTGTATTGAGTTCAGGTTTTAAGTATCATGCAGCAGTCTTAATTCTTCCTCTCCCTTGTAGGATGGCTTTTGTCTCTTCTTCGCACCACACTTAGTGCCATTTTTTTGGAAAATATTTCTGGTTATTATATTATGTATTGTAACAACCATCATCTATTACCGAACCCAAAGACAATGACCTCTGAGAACCGTAACTCATTTCTCCCAGCCAAGTGAGGACATGAGCAAGAATAGAAGCAAACAACCTTCTGAGACATTTTTACCTGCATGCCTACAAGGAGTCTTGCAGTGATAATCCAGCCAGTGTTGAAATTCCTCAGAAGTACTGGAGACACTAGAATAACATCACATGGTCATCTGTACATCAACATTCTCCTGAGTTGCTCCCCTTTGAGTGGGGAAAACTGGATAGTCCAAAGGCTCATTGCTCCAAATGATTTTGCTATTTGCTACATTTGGAAAAGAATGACTATGAACCTTTCATCTGGCCACTGTTTCATATGCTGATTGCTGGACAATTTGTCATGGTAACAACAGTTCAGGGGCAAATTGCTACCAGAAGTTCAAGTCCCAGATTGCTAATGAAGAATGTAATATTAAAACCTCTTCTAAGGTTTTAATATTTTTTTAATTCCTTGATCTAATTATTGGGACTTCGAAGTTTCTAAAGTTCATGTAACAAGAATTTATCTATTTCTGACTTTAATAAATTGTTAAAATGTCAAAGTTTAAAGAAAATTTAGTTGGTTTTCTTTGTGATTCAATAGTTTTTATTCTTAGGCATTCTGGCAGTTTCCTGTTTTACTGTCTCAAGATATGCAATGAGTAACAGTGTCTATTTAAACATTTAATCCATGCACAAGCTCAAAGAGTCTTTCCTGTCTTCTATCTTCCATTCTTCAATCAACTAATCCATCGCCTAGAAAATGAAATTAAACCTTGTTCTTTTACACTTTTACCAACATTGGATCTTAAAGTTTAACTTCATGAGTATGGCTTTTATGTCATTTTTAGGAAGTTTGTCCATGTCTCAAGATGATAAAGTATTCTGTCACTAATTCATTTTGGAGTTCATTTAGTTTAGTATGAAGTAATTGGTCCTTGGGTGGTGTAAGCAGTTAATATGCTCTGCAGTAAAGTGAAAAGTTCAAAGTTTGAGTTTAGCCAGAGGATTCTTAGAAGAAAGGCCTGGTGATTGACTTCTGAAAATTGGCCATTGAAAAACCTATGGGTCCAGAGGGTGGGGAGGAAGGTAGAATCGCCTCTGAGCAGTATCCAATCTGTCTGGGCGGGGCTGGTAAAAGGAGATGGGGATAGGGCTCTTATGGCACAATAGTGAATAATTGCTATCAAGACTGACTGAGGGTTGGAAATTTAAAGGAAGACATTTTGTAGCAAAAGGAGGGGAGTGGTTGACTTCATAGTCCAGGAGCAGAGGTCCCTGGGACCATCGAAGGAGAAGAGCGGAGTGAGGGCCCCTACCCAGAGAAACAGTGACGCCAGAGATGGAGGCAGAGACGATGACACATGGAGAGATAGGGTGGCTGGGGACTCTAGACCCAGAGAGGGAGAGGTGCTGTGTGCTGATGACTGAGGGGCAGGCTTGCAGGGTATGCCCTCTGGTTATTTGATGATGTATGGAAGGTCATCATGAGTTAGAATTAACTAACCTTACCACAGCTGGTTAGTATAAAGGGGGCTTCATTTCTTACAGGAAGAATTGGTAGATATTTCAGCATTGTTCAGTCACAGTTCTTATTTTTCCCCCCCATCTACTCATTTGAATGGAGTCCTGGTGTGGCACTGTAGGTTAATGCTTCAGACTGCAAAGTCTGTTGAACTGCAAGGTCAGTGGCTCAAGTTCACCAGCTGCTCCTTGGAAACCCTACACAGGGTCCCTATGGGTCGGAATTGACTCAATGGCACTTAACAAGTCATTTGAATATATACTGTTGGTGTACATATTCCTGTACTAATATTGCTCTACTTCAATTGCTGCCGTTTTTTAATACCAGGTTGGATAAATCTAGTCTCCCCCAATTATTCTTTTTCCAAAGAGAATCATTGCCTATTTTTGTGAATTGCTTGAGATAAGTTTTTTAAATCGGTTAAAAAAGAATTCATTAAGACACTGCTTTTGATTTTTTTTTTTTTCTTAACATCAATAGGAAGTACGCATCTTAATAATATTGAATCTTTACATCTAAGAGTGGAGCCCTGGTGTGGTGCTGTGGGTTAATGCACTAGACTTCAAAGCCATTTGAACTGTAAGGTCAGTGTTTCAAGCTCACCAGCTGCTCCTTGGAAACCCTATACAGGGTTGCTATGGGTTGGAATCGACTCGATGGCACTTAACAACATAACATCTAAGAGTATGTAGTCTTGCTCTTACAATTTTCTTCTTATGTTCTATGTTCTTGTCAAGTATCTGCCAAGAACTGTTGAGTTCAGATGCTCTTGGGAATCAAATCAGTATGTGATATTTGCCATCCCTGCTTGTGACAAAACCTCAGTTTTCTCATGGGTGCTACCTTTCCTCCATTCTTACACCATGTGGTTTTGGTGAGGTCTACTTCTCCTATCCTACTTCATGAATTGGAGCCTGACCCAGATTTGACCTAATAGTCCATTACTAAGCAAATTTAATACTTACTTTGGGGACTTTTGTGGGGCCCTATCAGGTGAGAATCTTTCCCTGCTGAGCTTAGAGTGTTAATACACAGCAAAACAGGTACCATTT